CCAACAAAAAAAAAAAAAAACAACAAAAACAAAAAAAAAAACAACAACAAAAACCACACATTGGAAAACAAATTAATGAGAGTGACATTATTATACAGATACTTTTGATATATGGTATCTATTGATAATATACATTAGTAACTATATGTGTATACAGGTAACTATAATATATATTTTATTGAAATATATTTTACATACACAAAATACATCCATTTTGAATGAACAATTCAATGATTTTTAGTAAGTTAAGCTATACACGTGACCATTATCATAATCCGTCTCAGCAACTCAGAACATTGTCATCACCATAATATAACTCCAACTCACCCCCTCATCTTCAGTGCTGTGGTCTTTCCATTTTTTCTCTATAGAAGCTGATTTCCTGATAGTATATTTCTCATCACTTTCAAATTCTTCCTTTACGGAGGAAAAAAGGGAAGGGAATGAGTTAAAAACAGCCTTAATTTGGAGAAGATGAGAGGAAAATGGAACACCAAGGAGAGTAACAGTGGACATAGCTAAGATATAGGTGTATTAGTCAGTTTCCCATTAATGGAACAAAATACCGAACACTCACAACTTAAAGAAGTGTCATTTGGCTCATGGTTCGGGGGATTCAGTCTATGAGAAGCTGACTGCAAGGCAGAAATGGCATGATGGAAAGGCTTGACAGAAGAAAGCTGCTCATCACATTGTAGCCAGGAAGCAGAGAGAGAAAAGGGAAGAGTTTGGAAAAGAATACACCCTTCCAGGTCACACACTCAGTGACCATCCACCAACCAGCCCTCACCTCTTAGTAGCACATTCAGCTGTGAGCTCATTGGTAGATTGATTCTCTGTTGAGTACAGCACCTCCATGATCCAGTCATCTTTCAAAAGCCTCACCTCTGAACACATGAAACTTCGAGGGACATTTTAGATCTGGACCATAATATCCTGCCTTTAATCACCAAAAGACTTATGTCCATCTCAGTACATAAAATGCAATTTATCTCAACAGTTGCAAAAGTCATCGTAACATCCTTAGCAGTGCCAGAAAGTCTAAATCCAAAGTCTCCTCTGAGAATGAAGGCAAACTTAGCTGTGAGCCCCCTGTAAAAATAAAAAAGAAAATTAAATGCTTCCAACATCAGTGGTACAGGGTAAACATTTCTATTCCAAAAGGGAGGGGTCAGAGAAAAGGGAAAAATGGGACAAAAGGAAGGAATGGGACCAAAGCAAGACCAAAACCTTGCCTTTATGATGGTTACTCAAATCTCTGCCCTACCCTGATATTTATCCTCAGCTTGGACCCTTAAAGCCAATATCTTCTTAATGGTTTTGTTTAACATGGAGCTCAGTGTGCTGGGGATATACCTCTGTAGTAGAGCTTGTGCATAGCGTGCATAAGGTCCTGGATTTAATCCCTGGCACCAAGATTAATTAATTAGTTAAAAAGTAAAAATAAAATACAACTCATCTCTCAAATTCCCTTTCTCAGACTGGGTCTTGCTGATTCTTTCCAGCCCTGTCTGAAGGCTGCCGTAGGTCACCATCTTCAATGGAAATAAGCACTTAAAAGAAGCAGGCCACCTGAGCATGTAATCCCAGTACTTGCAACTAAGCAAGTGAGTTCCGGGCCAGCATGGGATACGCAGTGAGGTCAAGGAAGCCTGAACTACATAGTGAGACCCTGTCTCAAAACAAAACAAGACCAAAACCCCTAAATAAATAAGAAGCAAGCTAAAGAGAAAGTGAACTCTAGAGACCAAATCCCTAGAGTGTCCATACCCCTGGGAAGCTGCAATGGGTACTCCATCTTTATCCTGCAAGTGATGCAAGCTTTTTCCTTGAATTTGTGCCATCCTCCTCATCTTTCCTTCCTGGAGGAGGTGAGTTCAGGGAAGAGAAGAGCTGCTTCCCCTGGCTTAGAACTCAAAATAAGGGAGCTGCCTTCAGGATGGATGCTGTTTAGAAGTCTAGGAAGAAGCCGAGTGTGGTGGCACATGCCTGTAATCCAGCACTCGGGAGGCTGAGGCAGGAGGATCGCTGTGAGTTTGAGTTCAGCCTGGACTACATAGTGAGTTCCAGGTCAGTCGCAACTACATAGTGAGATCCTGTCTCAAAAAACAAAACAAAAGCAAAAAAAAGAAGTTTAGGAAGATGGACACTTCTCTGAGCTTCAGTTTCCTCACATGAAATGGAGATAACATGAAGATGGAAAGGTAACATGTAGGTCTTCTCATGGTATGCTGTACAGTATGCAGAAGGCTGAACCAGATAACGAATGTTCATCTCAGAGAGGCTAATGGAATTGTCGAAGGTTGTGAAGCTAATAAGGGTCATGGTCATAACTAGAACTCAAAGCTAATGAGTTTTCACTAAGTCAGATACAAGAAATATCAGTGGTAAAAAAGAACAGCAAGGAACAACTTTGTTGTTTGTTCAAATATATAATTCTTACCATTTCTCCACAGCTTCTAGCCACAGGAGGGAAAAGAGTCTAAAAATATGTGCTGGCACCAATTTCTGTTTTTTATATGGGTAATTAGCAGCTGGAAACAAAGCTGTTAATTGCCACTCTTATCAGTGAGTGGTCTTTCATGTAGGTTGTTTAGATGTGAAAAACGGTGATGTCACAAAGCTCTGTTCTTTGCTTGGCCACGCCACCCTGGTATGCCTGGTCCCAAGAGAGTTCCGGATAGCTGTGGGCAGCAGAAATTGCAAATGGGCCAGGTTTCCACTGAGCCCCTTCCCACTGCTCCACTCAGTGGGGTGCACACCTCCCCCCAGGACTCACTGTGGCCAGCAAGTGGCTGCTAAGATTCATGAACACAGATTTCTGAATGACCAGCTCTGTGAAAGTGTGAGATGGATGGGCCTGTGAAGAAGGACCAGGAAATTGGTATGGCCTTAGGCCCCACGACCTTGAACAAGTCACCCCTTCTTTAGTCTTCAGCCTTATACTCCTAGAGTTGGGTGAAATGATTCAGATTTTCTCTAGCCCTTCATTTTTGTGATCCCTCAGAGAGATCTTTCTTTTCAGAGATGTTTTCTGAGTCACTACAAGATAACAAAGATGAAGCAGATCTCATGCTGTCCCTTCATTAACTCACAGTGTAGTGGGATTTATAACTTTACTACTCTCTTGAGAAATATACTAATTAATCTGCCCCAGTTTCCTCATTTGAAAAATTAGGGTAAAGCTAACTGGAGAAGTCATTGTGAAGATACTAATCATATGTAAATAAATATATAGCTACTGATGAACAGAACAGTACCTGACATCATTAAGCCCCAAGCGAGTGTTTGCTATTGGTAGTGTTATTTCTCCAGCAACTGTAGAGGTTTGTGAAGACTCAAGCCTAGATATCCCTGTGTCCCCATCCTTCCCTGTCCACTCAGTGGTCAACACATCAGGATTTGTCTGGCCAGGTACCCTAAAGCCATGTCTCTGTGTCTGGAGCTGTCCTCTTTGGAGAGAGAGAGTCTCTGTGTGACCTTGGATTCACAGCACCCAGTCATAACTGGCCAAGCACATTAGCCTGTCCAAAGGAACTGGCTTATTTGAGCTGGTAGATGCTAGGAGCTATTAGCAGGACAGCCACTGGTACATTTTCTTACTGGCTTTGCCTTTAACCTACATTCATTAAAGTTACTCTGAAAGCAAGACAAAAAGTAATGTCCTTTTTATCATCTGAACCCAAGACCTTTACAGCTTGGGGCAGAAATAGGCAGATGCCATGGCCGAGAATAGGCCTGATCTGATCCTCCTTTCCCTTCCTGTGCCCTGAATCTGTCCCAGCCCAGCTTTTCCCTGGTTTGTTTCATCCCCATCCTCTCTGCTTCTCTCTTCCCTTAAAGCACACTCTGGTTCCCTATCCTGAAACAACCTCTTCCTGACCCTACTACTTCATTTGCAAGAGGGAGGCATACAGAAAAAACAGAAAGAGTCATGCTTGGGATCAGGAGACCTACATTCACTTCCTCTTCATGCTGCTTACTGTGACCTTGGAAAAATCATGTCATGTCTCTGAACCTCCATTTGCTCTTGGGTAGAATGGACTCACTAGGATGGACCTGTTCTCCAGGATGATGTCAGGAGTCAGTTTTTCCAGAAGAGCCTTTGATATAAGATAGGTGCTGAGTGAGAACTTAGCCAGCTTCTGTGACACCATCATTGTGGACACTTTCCCTGCCTCTGTATTCGCTGTCTGCAGCACCTGGCTATAATACCCTCTGAGCTCTGACTTTCTTCTCTCCTGCTCAGGACCTTGTCTATTCTAGCCCAGTAGATGTAGCCCACAAGGTGCTGATCATCCTGAGGACCTTCTTGAGGAGGAACGAGGATATCCAAGTGGGTGGTCTCATCCGAGGCCACTTCCTGCTCATCCTGCAGCACCTGCTGGTAGAGTATGGGCCCTCTCCACCAGGAGGTTAGTCTACAGGTGCCTTGGGCATGTTTTGACTTGAAGGCCAGTCCAGAGTAGGCAGCTCTGTCCTCATGAGATGTGCTCTCAAGAGGGAATCAGGATTTTTGCTGAAAAAGAAAAGCTAGTCCAGTGTGGCACCGCATGCTTGGTTGTGTTTGTGTGTTTAACGTGAATGGGAGTGTGATGTATGTGTGCTTCTCCCCACCCTGCATGGCATGTGTTCAGAGCTCTTTGTCACAAGAATGGCAGCCTCCAGTGGGAAGAAGAAAGTGGAAAATCTGGAGGAGGCTGAGGACCCAGCAGGGATCTGGGAGGAGGTTGGATCTATGATGTATTAGCTGTTCCCAAGAGGGTAGTTTCCAAATCTAGAATGGGACCCCTGGAGTCAAGGAAACTTACTGTTTGGAACAGTAGGAAGAGAATGAAAACTGAGATCGGTTTGTCTTTTCCTGTTTTTAGATAGGCTGAAATTTTTAAACTAAATTTCTGAGCCATGAAGAGAAAGTGGGAGGATATCTATGGTTCATTTGGTCCAGTCCAATTTGGAGATAGATTAAAGGACATCTGAAGGCACTGTCCTCTCCTTTGCAAGGAGGAGCAAGATATAGCTCATTAGAATCTTATCTAAGAACCATAAGATTTAGTGGAAACATAGAGGAAAGGCCATGGGCATTGAATTCAGATTGGATTCAATTCTTGGCCCATTATCTTGGTCTATTCCAGTTGTTACATCAGAATACTACAGAGTGGATGGCTTATAAACAACAGAAATTTAGTTCTCAGAGTTCTTTGTTAATCTAAAATCAAGGTGCCAGCAGATGCTGTGTGTGTTGAAGGTTTCACTGCCTGGTTCATCGATGTCTTTGCTGTGTCTTTACATGGCAGAAGAGGCGAGGGAAGGAGCTCTTGGGAGTCTACTTTATAAGGGCACTAATGCCATCTAGAAGGGCACTTGTCTCTGTTAAGATTTCAACGTGAACTTCGGGGGTCACAAACATTCCAACTATAGCACCCTGTCTTTTATTGATGGCGGGGAGGGGTTGTCTGACCTTTGGGTAATCTGAGCTCAGGCTCCCTGACAGCCCCCTCTGATCTTCACAGCTTCAGGGAACCTGCCGCTGCTCCTGAGTCTCCTGTCCTTGGTGCAACTGAGGAACAAGTCAGGGCAAGAACTGGACAGCATGGCCATGAAGCTCCTTCACCAAGGTGCCTTGGCAAGTTGGGATGGTTCCTGACAGCCTAGGGCTGCATGTGCCCTAGGCCTTTTCACTAGTGCTGCTGTTTATTTCTTCTTCTGTTCTTTTATCCTTTTGCAAGAAACTAGTAGTCTGCCTGGGAGCTTCTTACTGAGATACCTCTTATGGCTCTTCTGCCTGTTCTCAGGGAGAGTTTGGGACGTCCTCCCCTTGCCAAAAAATAATCAGTATGTGACAGGCACAAGCTCTAGGGTCACGAAGGGCCTGAGTCTCAGCTTAGTCACCAGCTGTGTGAGGTTGGGCAGTCACCTTGCCTGTACCAAACCTAGGCCCCTCTTAGGTAAGGTAGTATTCCTGTTACAGGGTTGAAATAGGTTTACCTGATCTGGTAGGTATAGAACGCCACACAGTGCTTGACACACGGCAGGCCTTCACTGTGTTGATTCCTGTTTGCTGGCACCTGGTCAGCTCCTCACCTCATCTCACAGCTAATGAGCCAGCTCACAGTTGTCTAGACTTTTCCTACCCGTACCCCAGACCTCAGTGGGGTATTTCCTTAATCATGAAGGTAATCACTACGTCATATGCAGCTCCCACAGGAAGAATTTTGAGGGAAGGTTGAATGAGTAGGAAAAATGACATTCCTTCAGTACCTGCAGACTCAGATCCCCTGGCACAGGTGAGGTGGGATGCTTTCCTTGCCCAGAGCCAAGTCTTTCTCAAAAGATCAGAAAAGGCCTCTGGCGATAGCTACAGCTCTTGCTTCTGCCTACTGCTGGTGATCACTGCCTGTCTGTCCGATCTAGGCCGACATCAAGTTGATCCGTATGTGACAAAATCATCTTTCAAAGGGGCCTCTGACAAGGAGGAGTGACAGACTGAAATCTACATGTGAAATGCAGTAGACATGTATTCTCTGAGTACTTCTGTGTGGGAGGAGAGGACTGCAGCTCACGGTGGCCCACAGCTCAGGAGTGAAGGTGCTAGGGTGAGGGACCTGCTTCTCAGGTTGACCGCAGCCAGTGGGAAGCCAGAGTGTGATGTGGGTGCCAACGAGTGAACATAGAAGTAGGTTTCGCAGTGGGATGGGAGTAGAGAGATGGGAAGTGGTAGGTAATTCCCAGGAGGGAGCTGTTCTCAGACGACTGCTCTTCAGTGTCGTAACTGCTTTGCTGAGAGCTGGGGAACGCAGAAGAGGCATCTCAGCTTTCCCTCGAGAGGTGACGAGAGTCTTCATGGGGGAGTGAACTTGGAGCTGAATCTCAGTTGCCGACTAGGAGTTGAGTTAGCCAGAGGGAGGTGATATGTGAGAGAGGATATGGACAGTGAAGAGAACTGCACATGAGTATCACACGGTTCCCTCGGGATGGCAGTGACTGCTCCACTGCTGGGGGAACTGGGAGGTGAGGCTAGATGTCCTAGGGAGCAAGGACTCCTTCTAAGGTGACAGGCTGGCTCTGGTGAGCTCTGCAGATACTTGTATCCTAGAGTCTGATGGCATACACATGTTTAGAGGATGCCCTCAGTCAACTCATTCCATACAATGTGTGCTGGCTAGTGTACAACCAAGGGTAGCTTACCCAGTGTTTGTCCAGTTGGAGGATGTTATGGCTTGTGTTTAGATGTCCCCCCGAAACTTCATGCAGTTATAGGTGGGGCTTTTTCAGAGGTGGCTGAATCTGCAGTGTGTGATTGATTCATGGTGAAAGACTTGGGGTGCTAGGATTAAGGGTGTGAGTGCTACTCACCCTGAGGGTGGGTATGAAGGATAGAAAGAGGCTTGCTGCTAGATACTTGTAGTTTGTCATTTGCTTTGCTACTGTCTGCCTGCTGTGAAATGTTTCTTCTCTGCAATGCCTGTCTGCCCTGCCCCTCTGCCTTGGAGCCAGCTGATTATGGACTGAAACCTCTACAAACTGTGAGCTAAATAAACCTTTCCTCCTTTAACTATGGGTGTCAGGTATTCTGTTCCAGCAACAAGAGAAAAGTAACTAAGACAGAGGTGTGAACATGTCCTCAGGTTTCACTGTGTTACTTTCCATTGGCTATAATGGCAGGGATGCTCAGTTTGTGCTTCCTCTCCAAGACAGAAACCTGAAATTGGCCAGTTGTGGACCATCATTTGTGAAAAGTGTGACTGCATTAAGACTGTGGAGTGCTGTGCAATATGCCACCTGGCGATTCTCGTGTCTTGCAGTGAGCAAGCTCTGTGGGAAGTGCAGCCCCACAGATGTGGACATCCTGCAGCCTTCCTTCAACTTCCTGTACTGGAGCCTGCACCAGACCACACCCAGCAGTCAGAAGAGAGGTGTGTGGCTGAGGCCAGTGAAGAAGGAGAGTGCCTGGGCAGCGTCTGTGGTCCCCTCAACCATCCATTTTCTCATCTTAACAAATAACTTGGGGAGTGTGGGTGGCTGGTGGTCATGGGTTCTCAAGGATTCTGGGAGCCTTCGGGCCACAGGTTAATCCTTTTGTTTATTTTTATACATGGAAGCTCCACCTGGTGCTGAGAACCACGGAGGCACTAAACTAGAGCACCTGTGTAACTATGTGGTTTCTGCCCTGTCCCTGCCCTGCAGTGGCTGCAGTGCTCCTGAGCAGCACAACCCTGATAGAGCTTCTGGAGAAGACGCTGGTGCTCACCTGGGCAGATACAGGCTCTCCTCCCTGGACAGAGGGAGGCTCTCCCAGGAGTGCACTGCTCTGCTCTGCCTGGCTACTTGCTGCCTCCTTGTCTTCTCAGCAGCACGATGGCAACTTGCAGGTTAGTCTCTAGCTCCATGGCTTTGAGACATGGGATGAAACTTGAAGTGATGAAAAGCCTGAGTTCTGGCCCCAGCTCTGTGGCCTGTTAGCTGTGTGACCTTGGCAAGGTATTTAACTATCTCAAAATTTCAGTTTCCTGCCTAGAGAGTGGGAAGAACATTCCATGGTGTTGTTAGGTTGGTTTAAATTAATCTGTTTAACACACATGGATCACCTGTATACCAGCTTATTTTTGACACAGTGGAATAAAAAATGAATACAGCATGTGTCCTACCCTTTATGCTACTTTAAGCAAAGCCTTAAAGTAACCAAGCTGTACTCAGCTAAGATTCTAGGTAGCAAGCACAACATGAGCAAAGGCATGAAGCTGGCCAAATTCAGGACAGGAGCCAGATGTGGTGGTACACATCTGTAATCCCAGCCCTTGGAGGCAGAGGCATGAGGATCTGGGCAAGTTCAAGTCCAGCCTGAACTACATAGTGAGACCTTTTCTCAAAAAAAAAAAAAAAAAAAAAAAATCAAGAGCACAGGGTACATATTGTTTGGAGAGTGGTGAGGTGATCTGTGTGGTTGGAGTGTGGGGTGAAGGAATAGGTCAGACTGGACAGGAAAACAGGAGCAGCACATGACCTTGAAGTGCTGGGTGGCAAGCTGTGAAGAGCCAGACATTGTTAGCTGTCATTTTGGTCATGCCAGGAACAGAAGAGCAGGGGGTGTGTCACAAAGCACCTCCTCACCTTCCAGCCCCACCCCCTGCAGGACCTGCTCGTGACACTGTGCCGTGTGAGCACCTCTGTGGGCTGTTTCCCAGCCAGGCATCTCCTCAAGGCCCATGGCTCCTTATAGACAGAAACATCTCCCATCCTCCATGGTGTCCTCACACTGTGCCCAGAAGGCTCCCAAAGGAGTTTGGGGAAAGTAAAGGCCCTGGGGGTTCACAGGATGGAAAAGGACATTTTCTCCAAACTCATGGGCAATGTTTTTGTTCTCCTGTGGGTCTGGCCCTCAGCGTCCTACCCCTTGCCATCTCCACTGTCTTTCCCTGCCTTCTGGACAAGTATTTACTCTTCTCCAGTGGGCTGTGCTATTTCACATCTCCATACTTTTTTTTTTTTACTGTTTTATTCATTTTTAATTTTCAATAGGTTTTGTAATATTTTGGGAGGTGTACTGGAGATCAAACTTGGGACCTTGCCCTTGCCACACATGTGTGATGCTGCTGAGCTACATCCCTAACCCTTCAATAGGTTTATTTTTTAGGACAGTTTTAGATTTATAGAAAAATTGAAGAGGTAATTTAGAGTTTCCATATAGTCCTCCATACTCTTTCCTCTATTATTAACATTTTACATCAGCGTGATATTGCTATGCCTTTTTACGGGTTGGCTCTTCTGCATAGGACCTGCAGCCAACAGGGATTTTTAAGGAACTTCTTTGTGCCACACTGTGACAGAGACCAGAATCTACAGAGTTTAAAGAGAGCAGAGGAGACACAGCTTTGACCCTGCCACCCCTCCTGTAGCAGCTCAGCTGGGACATCGCTTGACATTAGATTCATGTTTATTGACGCTGTTCCTCACATTAGCTGTGGCAGGAGTGGAAGCGTGTGGCATTGTCTTAATTTCACAGTGAAGAAAGCGAGGCAGGCTAAGAGAGGTGCAGTGACGTGCCCAGGGCCACACAGCTGGTGAGTGGCAGAGCCAGTATTTTGTTTTGGCGTCCCTGACTGCAGGTGTTGGGTTAGGTGGATGGCGGTTAGAGCCAAAGACTGAACCACAGATGAGACGGGCAAACTTCCTGGTGGAGGCAGTTGAGGTTGGGGGAAGTTTGGGTAGAAGAGTCAGTTCTTCAGGTGTACTTCTGAAGCCAGGACTGGTGAGGCTCCGAGGACTCTGGCCTACTGCTTGGTGCAGTGTGTAAGTTGGGGACAAGGGGTAGAAGAGATATGGGGGCAGGCTGTTTTCTGCCCAAGGTCCCAGAATATGGAATTTAGCCCTGTATCCCTGCCACGCCAGGTTCACCAGACTCTGTCCGTGGAACTGGACCAAGTAGTGAAGATCCTCAGCTTTCCGAAGAAAAAAGCTGCACTGCTGTCAGGTGTGGGCCCTGGAGTTTGCAGCAAGTGAAGAAAAGCTTTTCCCCTGGGTTCTGAGATAGAACCACCCACCCAGACCAGCCTTTGGTCACCCCATAATTATCAGCATTGTCTCCTCTCATGTGGCACATGGGTGGGAGGTGGGGAAGGAGGCAGGAGCTTGGTGTGAGGAGCCTCCTGCTTGCAGCTGCCATCTTACGCTTCCTGCGGACAGCCCTGCAACAAAGCTTCTCCTCTGCTCTAGTGGCCCTGGTGCCCTCAGGGGCCGGGCCACTGTCAGCCTCCAAAGACACTGTCCTAGCTCCGTTGGGAACATCACAAGTGCTGTACCTGATCGTCGGGCTACAGAACCTCTTGGTGCAGGTAAGACCCTTGCCAAGTGGGCCCTGGGCAGTGGGAACTGGTTCTCCTAGTTCAGCAATGGGAAGGGGTGGCTGCTTGTGAAGAGCCTGTTATTCCCATCAGGCCCAAGGGCTAATTGGTTGCCTTTTAAAGCCACACTGATAGAAACAGAGCTCAAATTGGCTGCTAAGAAGTCCAGGTGTCACTACAGGCTACAAGCGCAAGTGGGTCTCAGAGGCTCAGACAGGGCCCTTAGAACTCTACGATGTCTCTTGGCTCTGCATTCCTCCCTATCATCTTTGTCCTCATGGGATGGTAGGATGACCAGAAGGCTCCAGGCATATATATCCTCCCAGCAGAAACAAGCTTTCTCTTTCCCAGAAGTTCCTGGAAATGAGTCTTCGCCTGGCACGGGTAATACACCAATCACCATGGCTGGGTCATGGGATGCTCTCTGACCAGCTTGGCCTGGGTCTGTGCCCTTTCCTGGAGGCTGGGGTTATGGTCAGCTCTTCACACCTATGTGGACTTAACCTCAGAAGGGACTGCTTCCTTAAAGGAAAACTGTTGCCAGAAGAAGGAATGGATTGTTGGGAAGCAAAACAGATGATCACCTCAGGCAGATTAGTGGATTATTATTATTATTATTTTTTTGGTACCAGGGATCCAACTCATGACCTTGCACTTGCAATGCAGGCACAGTGCCACTAAGCTAAATCTCCTGCTGATTAGTGTTTTATAGCTCAGAGGATTCTTGGAGATCATTGTTTGTCCACCCATCCCATACTGAGCCTCTTACCCCATTATTACTCCTGGGGCCAGTAAATAGTGTTGGAGGCCCCAGGAGTGGGCCTCTTGCTAGGCTGGTGGTTGCTGAATCTTGTCCTATGGCCCACCCATGCACACAAGGCTCTGGCCGTTCAGGGATCACACATTTCGCGTGTCTTACCACTCAGCTGTTTCTGTTTTACATTTGTTTGCATGTGTCAGTCTCCATTAGGCAATGAGATCTTCAAGGCAGGGACTGAGTAATCTGGTTCATCTTTGTGTTTCCTTCCCCTTTTGGGGTCAAAAGAAGTTGAAATATCAGTTTAACAAAAACATCAGCTTTATTTTTGGTAAGTGCAGCAATGTACAATGTAACTGGGGCTTAGGGTCAGAATGGGCTGTGTGTGTGTGTGTGTGTGTGTGTGTTTCAAACAATAGTAAAGAGAACAGAATTTTACAGTGAACACTCATATACACACCACCTAAATCCTGCCATTAACATTTTATTATTTGTACTTCATTTATCTATCCAGAGTGGGATTTTTTTTTTTCTAATGGTATCCAGGATTGAGCTCAGGACCTTGTGCTTGCCATGCAGGCTCTGTGCCAGTAAGCTAAATCCCTGGCCCAGAATGGGCCTTTAAACCACTTTTCCCCTAAGCAGACCAAGGAGGTTACCAGGGGAAAAAATGTACTACATTACTCAGCTACCTGATCATGATCCTAAGAGTTTATGGGAGCATAATCATTAATAACTTAATCCTGCCTTGATGATAAAATATGTGTTAAGCTAATGGCTGCTTATTAGATAAATCTCCCCTTAGGTGAGTAGGGCCAATGAAAGAAAGGCCTTTATTGATGTTTCTAAAGGAGCCAACATTATTGCTTTAACATTCAGAACATGTATTTGTTGGGGATGGAGGGGAGTGATTCCCTTATATGTAATAAGAGCACAGAGCTTGGCAGAGAATCGGCATCAAGTCATATTTGTAGAAAGAATGAACGAATGAATGAGGACACAGAAATGAATGTGACATGATTCCAGCCATTCAGGCACTCACAGATCATAGGAAACAAAGCCACTCCTATGATTATCCACTAACCTGTTAATCAATGAATGGCTTTAATCACTTCCTCAAAGCCCTACCTCTAACTACATTAATATATGGCATCTAAGCTAAAGGAAAGAAGTTCCTTTGGGAATTCAGTTTCCAACCCACGACATTTGGAGAACGCATTCAAATCATAGCAGTGCTCTTTCAGGCTTCTCTGACTCAAATCCAGCTGCTACCTCCCTGAGAGGCTTTGGGGGAAGCGAAAAGATGGGCCTGAGCAGGGAAGAGACACACATCCTTCCTTCTCAGACTTGGCTTTCTGCTTGGAGTGGGAGTGGGATGTGTTGTTGTCAGTTTGGAATTTGAGGGAGCTAATTAATTTTACAGAGTGAACCTTTGATCTCAAGGATCATTTCTACAGGAGCAGGTGCTGCTGTCAGGTTAAGGGTTCATGAGAATGGTAGGTGGAGAGGATGGTGAGAGAACATCATGTCCCGAGTGTTTACTGTGCTCAAGGCACTCATTTGACATACATTATTTTTCCATCCTGACTCCTCTATAAGGTAGAAACTTTCATTTCAGCTTTTTTCCTTCCTGCAGTATTGGAAATCAAAGGGCCTTTGCATCAAGCTATATCTCAGACCTTTTATTTATTTTTTATTTTTATTTTTGTTTTGGAACCGGGGATTGAACTGGGCCCTTGCGCTTGTGAGGCAGGCTGCGGAACCACTGAGCCAAATCCCCGGCCCTCTCCAGCCCGTTTAAAAAATTTTAAATCTTGAGACACAGTCTCGCTTTCCAGAGTGCTAGTGAACTGGAGCCATTCTTAACCGAGCAATAGTCCCTGGTTTTCCCAGTACTGTATGCAGCACTCCTCACCCACGATCCACAGGGCCCTTGAGGTAAGAGAACAGCAACTGGGCAGCTCCTTACCAGATGGGACCGCTGCGGCATGCTGGCCCATTGGGCTGTGGATGTGTGGGAAGAGTCTAGAAGTGCCCACTCTTTAAGAGTTAGTTTTAGATTAGGAAAAAAGATAAGGTGAAAAAAAGCCAGAAATCAGGAGACCTTGGTTTTGGCTGTAGACGTGCCACCCGGTGTGTTCAGGTCAAATATTTTCCCTCTGGGTCTCAGGGTATAAAATGAAGTGGGTCAGTTAGCTCAGCCATTTCATACTGTGTGCCTAGGAGTCCTTTGGAATTTATTGGAAGAGATTCAGGGGTTGTTTAAAAAGGGACAGTGTTTCTTCCTTTATGTGTTTTACAAAGATATCTACCATTATCATTACTTTGTGCCAAGCACCTATTAAACACTGTCTATTTTCTTATGCAACCCTCACAGCAACCGAGGTAATCCTTTTATCCCTACTCAGCAAGGTTAAGTAAATTGCCCAGGGTCAAATAGATGGTTGGAAACTAAGCAAGGATTCTGACAGACCCAAATCTGCTTGCTATTCCTTACACTTAGCCACCAGGCTGTACTGCCTTCTAAAGAATAACTTAAGGAAAGCATAGGATTTTTGTTAGTTTTTACCTTTTTAAAAGCCAGCAGGCTGGAGATTTAGCTCAGTGGTGCTGCCATCTGCCCTCCAAGTGCAATGACCTGAGTTCATTCTGATCCCCGGTACCAAAAAAAAAAAAAAGGAAGAAAAGCCGGGCGTGGTGGCACACGCCTGTAATCCCAGCACTCAGAGGCTGAGACAGGAGGATCACTGTGAGTTCAAAACAAGCCTGGGCTACATAGTGAGTTCAGGCCAGCCTGAACTACTTACTTTGAAGTAACTTTGAATTTACTCACTTTTGAGACCCTGTCTCAAAAAAACAAAAAACCAGTGTTCATTCATTCATTTATTTACCTTTGAAACAAGGCCTTACTTTGTAGTTCAGTCTGGCTTTGAACTCAAGAAAATCCTCCTGCCTCAGCTTCCGGATTGTCAGGATTACAGGCATGTACCATTACTCCCAGCAAAAGTTAGCTTTATTTGGCTGTAACTTACATGTGATAAAATTCATTAATTTTAACTATATGGTTGGATGAGTTTTGCCAAATAGTTTTATAAACACTATCACAATATAAAAATAGAACATTTCCATCAGCCCCAAAAGTTCTCTTCTCTTTTGTGGTTAACTCCCTCTCTCCATCCCCGATTATTGACAAACACCAATCTGTTTTCCGTTATTATACTATAACCTCTTCTAGAATTTCATATAAACTAAATCATACAGTAAGAGATCTCGTGTGCCTAGCTTGTTTCATGTAGCTTAATGCTTTTGAGATCCAATCAAGTTGTTGTGTGTATCCGTAATTATTTTTTATTTTTGCAGTAGTGGGGATTGAACCCAGGGCCTTTGAACTGAACCATTTATTTGTTTAGAGACAAGGTCTTGTTAAGTTGCAAAACTGCATAGGCTGGGCTCAAACTTGTGATATTCTTGCCTTCTAGAGTGCTGGTGTTACAGGTGTGCACCACGATGCCTGGCTTTATCTTGCCTGGCTATATCTTTTTATGGTGAAATGGTATTCCTTTATATAGCTGTACTAGTTTCACCTACTGATAGATATTTTGGATTTCTAGATTTGGGGTTATGAATAAAGTCGCTCTTAACACTGAAGTGCAAATCTTTACATGGATACTAATTTTTATTTCTCTTGGGTAGTATCCTAGAGTGGGATTGCTGGGTCAAATGATGTGTTCTATGCTGTGCAGGTAGTTGCCACATACAGTACTTAGTGGCTTAAACAACATCTACTTACTATCTTACAGTTCTATCCCAAGTCAGAAGTTTGGAATGGTTTTCCTTTTAGGATTTCACAAGGCTGAAATCAAAGTGTTAGGCTTGCTGCTTTTCTAGGGGTAGTGGATTCTTCCCCAGTGCCTCTTCCAGCTCTTTAAGGTCACTCAAGCAGGTATAGTAGCACATGCCTGTAATCCTAGCAGGAGGCAGGAGGATCACAGCAAGTTTGAGGCCAGCTTGGGCTACATAGTAAGTTCAAGGCTGGTCTGAACTATACAGTGAGACCCTGTCTCAAAAAAAAAAAAAAAAAAAAAAGTCACTCAAATTCTTCCATGACCCCTCCTTCTTCAAACCAGAACTGGCACCTGGAGTTTTTCCTCACACTTCATATCCTTTTAGTCCTTCTGTTGTCAGCTACAGAAAACTGCTTCTAAAGGGCTTGTGTGATTAGTTAGTTGGGGCCCATCCAATTTCCCTATTTCTAAATAACCTAATCACATATAACATCTGGGAGCAAAGGTCATGGGTCTTCTTAAAATTTTGCCTGTCATCTATGGCTTGTGTATGTTTAACTTTAACTTTATAAGAAACCATCCAATTATCCTTTTTTTTTAGTCAGGGTCTCACAATACGGTTCAAGCTGGCTTTTTAACTCATTTTTTAGCCCAGGCTGACCTTGAACTCGTAGTGATCCTCCTGCCTCAGCTTCCTCAGTGCTAAGATTACAAGTGTGCACCACTGTGCCTAGCAAGAAACCATCTGATTATTACCATCCCACTAGCAAGATATGAGAGTTCTAGTTTGTCCACATTCTCACCAATTGTTGGTATTTTCAGTGTTTTTTTCACTCTTTTTCAAAAATTGATTATGCAGATTAATGAGTATCATTTTGTCAGATCCTTACTTGCATATACAATTATTTTGGTCATTTTCATCCCCTCCATGTCAGTCATTTTAATTTTCACCATTGGTGAGTATATAATGGTATCTCATGGTAGTTAAGTCTGCATTTCCCTGGTGACTTATGATGAGATTTTGTGTATGTGTGCTTATTACAGCATAGAATTTCACTTGATGAAAGGCTCTACTGTTTTGAAAAATGATTGAAACCCACTGCTTTAGATAAGCTGTAACATTTTTCAGTGTCTGTAGTTTGTGAATCTCAGTGGGGCCCAGGGTCCATCTCCTTTTTTGAAACAAAACACTCTCTTGAAAATAGATGGCCCAGGACAAGCACTGCACTGTATGTGGTGAGAGATGAAGGCAACAGACATCTCTTAATTATCTGTGAGGCCACATCCCAAATCTGAAGTTCTGAAATCCAAATAAAAACCAAATGTGTTTTTTCTTGGTTAACACCAAAACCCATTGGTGCAAAACTTGACAGTAATTTCTATTTTTGTTTTTTGTTTTTGTGTGTGTGTGTGTGTGTGTTTGTTTGCAGAAGGACCCTCTATTGTCCCAGGCCTGTGTTGGTTGCCTGGAGGCCTTGCTTGACTTCCTGCATGCTCGGAGCCCAGACATCGGTAGTAATCTTCTCCATCACTGGAGGAAGCTAGTCTCTCCCATTCTCTATACCAGATTTCCATTTCCTGTTTTGTGATTCAGATTTATCTTGTTTAATTCTTTTTTACCACACAGATGTGAGGCCACGGAGGTTCAGAGAGGTCAAATGACTTAATCATGGTCACAATTCTCTTATGTAACAGAACCCTTCCTGTTGCCTCCCTCCCACTACCTTGGGATATATTGTTTCACTGAGCTGTCAACATAGGTGGATAGAAGCTCAGGGAAGGAAGAACTCTCCTAGGGTCAGCCTGTCCATTGCCCTGCCTACAGCTGGGCAACCCCTTCTTGAGCCTGTAGGAGAAGGTCCTCTTCAGCCAGGTCCCCACATCTTAAGAAAAATAGCATTAGCCACCCGGGAACTGGTGTCTCCCACAGCACTGCACGTGGCCTCCCAGCCCTGGCATCGGTTTTTGCTGTCTACTCTCTTGGATGCTGGAGACAATGCCTTCCTCAGACCTGAGATATTGAGGCTCATGACCCTGGTAAGTGTAGAAAGGATGGTCCCATGGTCTGAATGGTGTGAGCTGATGGTGCTGAAGGGGCCTGGAACCTCACTTTAGGTAGCCTTAATCCTCCAAGAAAGTAGAGAGGCTGGGTGGGCCTTTACCCAACAAGATACCTGCTCAGAGAATTCCTGTGAATGCCCACTCTCCTCACCCCAGGAGACCCTGACACCTTTTATTTCACAAAACGTTGACCAGGGCCTGCTAGGTACAGAGATGGCAATGAGACAAAGACTGTCTCTCTGGGTCCCACAGTGTACACGAGAAGGACAAGGAAGTGAATAGTTAACTAGGATGTTTTGAGCGGTAGAATGGAGATGCTAAGTCCTCGGCACATAGTAGGTGCCCACCGAATAAATATCAGAGCAGTAGGTCTAAAAATGATAGTGACATGGACCTACAAATAAATCTGTGGTTGGTATGGGGACACAGAGAAAACAGTGACTATTTCTGCGAAGTGAAGATGATGTTTTAGCTGAGGCCTGAGGGTTTAAGAGCCAGAGAGAAGGAAGCTATTCCAGGTAGTGAGGTGAGAAGAACAGAAGAGGAGCTCATGGTAGTAATTGGCTGTGGAAACTGCACAGTTCATTAGGTGCAAGACTCAGAAAGGAGGGAGCCAAGGGCAGAGGTCACTACAGCAACTCTCTCGGGTCTCAATGTGCCTCGTTTGCTCACGACTCCATCCCCACCCCCTCCCCACCAATGCAGAGCTCCTTGAAAGCAGGGCCTGTGGGCTTCACAACAGTGTCTCCAGCTCATTGCTGAGCACAGAGGATACAGGAAATGGCATCTCTGCTTTTCTTTCTGTGCCAGTTTGTGCGGTATAGGAGCAGCAGCATCCTCTCCATTGAAGAGGTGGATCACCTCCTACAAGACATGGCTTTGGCTGACCTATCTACCCTCTCACATACTACCCTCCAGGCCCTGCGTGGCTTCTTCCTGCAGGTGGGTGGAAAGGGGATGCCCTATAGCCCCCATGAGGTGTGACCCTCAAGGTCGTCTTCCCTGTGGAGCGTGGGAGCTATTGGTATGGCTAGGAGTACAGGGGGTCGGGGGCAGTCAGAGGGAAGCTGCCTTCCCTGCCCTCTCGTCACCTCAGGTCCAGAGCGCGGGCCTCCTGGCTGATCACAGCATGACCCAGACCCTGCAAGCCTCCTTGGAGGGCCTTTCCAGCACCTTCTCAGCCCAGCCACCCCAGCAAGACATGCTGTATCCTTTCTTGATGTGGGACTTTTGGCCTGGGCAAGGTCAGCCTTGCTTCTCTCCTTAGCCCAAGTAGGAAGGGCTGGTGACAGGCAAGTTCTTTAGAAAGCCTGGCCTGTAGCAGTGGGCAGAGGCCCCTGAGGGTTGCTAGGGTGCTCCACAGACACTGCTGAGTGTGGGTGTGTGCTTCCCACCCATACCAGCTGCCTCCCTGACTCTCCTTTCCCCTTCCAGGAAACAGTTCCCTATTGTAGAGCAGCTGCCTAGCCAGGTGCTCGGGTCCCCAGTTTAGAAACCATGCCCCTATTTTTAGGAGCATCTGTGTTCTTGTCTGATGTTCTTACTCTTTGGGGGGCTTGGAAGTGTGAGTCCCTCATGGGTGGTGCCTCTGCTCTGCTGTTCTCCTCTCATATTTCATTACCAGCTGCCTGGGAGGGGTGGCTGTGTCCCTGTCCCACATCAGAGACTGAGCCTCAGGACTTGAAGGACCGGAAACCAAGAAAAGTGAGACCTGGAGACAAAGTCAGGACATAATTGTTGGGAAAAGGATGACAATCACAGCCATTCCTCTGGAACTGTCTACTCCAATGGAAATGGAATAGTGCAAATGGACTCAGGAACTAAAATGATACAAACAGTTCAGTCTGAACTCATTTTGTCTCCCTAGACCTGGATTCTCAGCCAATTGGATAGTGGATCGCTTCAGCAAGAGCTGGGTGGGTTCCCTGGGGAAAGCGAGGGCAGGTTTGTTAAGGCAGTGACACCTAAGGAGTGCCTGCTTGCTGCCTCAGTTGTGCCCAGTGAACACTGCTCAAGCCAAAGCTATCATTTTGGGCTGCTGTAAGCCAAGTGCTCTGAGTCAGCTCACCTCTTGTGGAACTGGGGAGAGGTCTTAATTCCCAGGCAAGAAGGTCAAATTCTTCTCAGCCTTCCTTGCTAATTGACTCTGCCCCAGTTTCAGCCCTTCACTGGCTAAACTAGATCCTCCCCTCTGCTTCTTTCCCTCCAAGCTTGTTTTTCCCTGCCTTTTTTTGGTACTGGGAAGTGAACCCAAGGCCTTTGCACTAAGCTATAGCCCTAGACCTTCTTTATTTTTTTATTTTCAGACAAGGTCTCACAAAGTCATTAGATTACCCAGAGAAATCCTGCCTCAGCCACCCAGAGTGCTGCAATTATAGTCACGTGCCACACCTGGTTTCTGACAGCTTGTGTTTCTATGCCTACGAAGGCAGCTCCTATTTAATCTCTCTCTCTCTGCTTGGTGCTGGCGCTCACACTGCACTCCACTACCGTGCCAGCTCCTGTTCCCTGTGTAGCCCACTAGACCTCGTAGCTCCTTTGCTCCTGAAAAGGGCTCTCGGTCCCCTAATGACCATGCCACCCTTCCTCCTGGGGTCTGGCTGTCCTGATCCCGCACAAAACGGGCTGAAGCTCTTCCGAACCAATGGATCAAGAAGTTGGTTTAGAAGTTGGTGTATCGGAAGTGATGCCGGTACTCCGTAAGCAGGCTGCACTAGCTCCCTTAAAAAAGAAAGGTAATCACTACCCACTAAACTGATGCTGCGAACTGCAGTTGAAGAAACACGGTCAGGGCTGGGGATTTAGCTCAGTGCTGCCGCCCCTGCCTCGAAATCGCCGTGTCCCGAGTTCGATCCCCCGTACCCGCCCCCCGCAAAAAGGAAAAGAGAAAACACGGTCATAGATGACAAACCTGTTTCGGGGTGCACGCGTGCAGGATTTCGCGGCTGGCCGAGAGGTGGGGCTCCAGTTTGTTGGCACGCACTTTAAAGTCGGCATAGGCCCCACCTGCAGTTTAACTTCCTGTAAACCAGCCATAAAAACCACACCGGGGGCACCCAGAGGAGCCACTGATCAATTTGGGCGGGGCGCGGCTGGGGCCGAACTCAGCTCAAACTGACAGCACCTGCGACTAGCTAAGTAGCCCAGAGGGGTGGGGCAGAAGTGGGGGCGTAACCGGAAGTGAGGTCACGGAGCGCAGCCGTCGCGGCCCGCACTCATTGGACTGGAGCGTGCTGTGGGTGCGGCGGAGCTCCGCGGTCTGAACGCGCGGCTATCCAGATGCTCTCGCTATTAGTTCCTTTTGCTGTAGTCTAATAGACCCTCTAGCCGAGGTGTACACCAAGGGGCTACCAGCCCGCCCCTTCCCGCACAGCCTGTCGTGGTACGTGACGGGACCACCGGGCGGCAGGCTCTTGGGGAGTAGAGGGCTAGGACCGAGGCCCCGGAACTGGTGCAGGGTTTGGGGAGGGAGTTTCGGGCCGGGACCTTCTTTTCCTTTGTAAAAGTCTCGCTCCCTCCTCCCGGAAGTCCCTAGGCTGGGGTCGGGGAGAACAACCCGGGCCCGCGCCCCTCGCCAACAAGGTACCTCCGCATGGTTTCAGAGTTGCCTGCGGAGCCCGGAAGAGCTCCTGACGCACCAGAAAGGCGCGGGATTGAGTGGCCGAAAAACAACGTAAAAGTAAAGAAAGCCGAAGCTGCTGCCCCCCGCCCCCCACCCCCCTGACTCCCCACGGTCTGCTTATTCGGTCTTCCTTTCCCGCTTCCCTGCTTCAGTCGTTGCCAGCTGTTTGGTACCCTTCTTGGTACCTTTGACCAAGGTTTGCTGTGGCCTGGTTCTAGTTCCCTTGGTTCTGGAGCGCGACGGTGGAACGAACGTGGAACGTTCCTTGTCTAGGATTCAGCTGTCCCATCGCGTAGAGGGACGGGAGTTCTGATGACCTCTGTGGGCCTCTCTCTGTCTAACTAGCGGTCACGCTCAACCCCCACTGCCGCGGGGGCGCGTGTTCTCGTAGATCAGTGGCCAGTTGTGATCTGAGGTGGCATGTGCTAATTTAGAAGGGCTGAGAATGTAGCTCACTGGTGGAATGTTTGCGTAGCATTCCAGAAACTCAGAGTTCAATCCTCATTACCTAGGAAAAAGAGAGAGAGACAGGAGACAGTGTACTGGTCTGAAAGTCAAAACACTTTTAGTTCAGCTTGGGAACAGCCGTGTGACTTTGGACAATTATCTCACTTTTATGTGCCATAATTTCCACATTCATAATATTGGGGTAGCTGTTTTGATTGTACAGCCTCCTCTAACCTCTTAATTAATGTTGCACCCGACAGACTCCTTCTCATCTTTCTGTGTTTGTTTTACAATTTGTTGTCTCTTACCTCTTACTAGGGCCATAAATATGAGTGCAGAGATTTTTGCTTGTCTTTCTTATTGCTGTATTCCTGTTGCCTAGAATGTGTTAGGTACTCAATAATTGTGGGATGGCTGGGCGTTTCCTGTAATTCCAGAGCTCTAGAAGGCTGAAGCAGGAACATCTCAAAGTTCCAGCTCAGCCAGGGCATCTTAGCGACTTGGTAAGATCTTGTTTGAAAATAAAAAAGAACGGGGTATGTATTTTACTGTAAAGAGCCTGGGTTCAATCCCCAGTACTGGGAAAACATTTTGTGGTATTTTACCTGAATAGGAACAGGTAGCACTTGCCATTTATGATTCCAAAATGAGTAGGTAGCATTCATCTTACTCTAAGATACTGTGCCTCCCTACTCCCCTGTATCCCGTCTTCCTGAAAACAAATCAGGGAAGGAGGGAAACCACAGAAGTATTTGATAGCCTCTCACTGCCTTGACCTAACCTTGTAAGGGAATTGACCAGGCCCTCCCTCCCTGGGCACAGTGGCTCTCCTAGACCACTTCTCTGCAGCAGGAAAGTGAGGAAGCTGAGGCTTAGAGAGGAAGTGTGATTTGCTCAGGATCATGCAGGGCTCTAACTTAGACCCCCCCAGCCCCACTCCTGTGCTCCAAGCATCCCTGTGTTGCTAACATTTGTCTTATTTCCTCCATCCTGCCATCCTATTGGTCTTTGTTGTGTGCGTGGTGGGTACAGCCTTGGACCAAGGGGCTGAATCTTCAACGCTTCCCAGAAGTGGGTTCTTGTCATTTAGAGGCAGTGCCATGTCAAAGGACATTGCTGTTCCCTGCAATCTATTTACATAACACCAACCTCTGGCCCTCAATCCTTTTTGTTTTGTTCTGTTATGTTATGCCTTTAGTTCTAGAGTCTTGGATATGGACCTTCTTCAGTTCCTGGCCATCCTCTTTGTCCTGTTTCTGTCTGGAAGAGGGGCCATAGGCACCCCAAGGACCTCCATGGACCTCAGCCTGGAGATTTGTATCTTTTGGGATTAGGGGTAGGGTTAATGCATTATCTCTGAGGGGGTCAGTAAATGAGTTCTCCCTATAGGGGATTCCAGGATTGAGGAGACCCAGCTTACAGAACAGGGGAGAGTGGCCAGACCTAGAGCAAAGCAATTCTCTTCTGAGCCTATTTCTTCATATATTAAGTGGAAAAAGGCCAAGTACATCTCTCAGAGCTTCAAAGACTCAGGAGGGACATGGTTCTAACATCTTGTGGGTAAGACCTCAGGTAGAAGATTTGGGAACACTGGATTATTAGCTCATCTTGATCCTGATGTACTGGACCACCTCCTCTGGGCCAGGCCTCAGGAATATAAAGATGAATCAGGACCAGGTCTCAGTTTTTCAGCATCCACAGGCCTAGGGAGAGAGAGTTCAAGCAGATGGTCATTGTACTCAGTGATCATTGCTCTCTTGGTTGTGGGAGGGATGGGGCAAGCACTATGCCAGCTCTTGAGAGAGTAGAATCTAGAGAAGGCTGCAGCATAAGCAGAGTGGCAAAGGTTCTGAAACAATGAGTGATTGTCAGAGATGCCAGGAAGACCATGTGAAAGGAAAAGCAGAAGCCAGGTCCTGGAGGGCTGGGTTCACCTATTGGTTGTGGAGTCCTCAGAGAAATGGGTGGATGGTTCATTGTTGGACCCATATATTTCTCGGTTTGTTCCCAGCCCATAGCTTCCAATCTATGGGTACTCATGGTTCCTTAGAGAACTTACTGCTCGGGAATGGGCCTTCTGAATCAGAGCCAATAGATGTCCATACAGAGTTGTTGGTCTCAGTCCCTTAACTCAATGCTGCCCAGACAAGAAGATGTTTGAGGTGAAGCGGCGAGAGCAGCTTTCAGCACTGAAGAACTTGGTACAACTGAATGATGTCCATCAGCAGTACAAGATCCTGGATGTCATGCTCAAGGGGCTCTTTAAGGTGTGTGGGAGCAGGAGGAAGCTTGTTGCAAGCCCAGTCTGATCTGGGCACTAACAGATGAATGAGTTCCCTAAAGGGATGGTGTTCAGTGAGGAGGGAGCTGCATGCACGAGAGTTGAAGTGGGATTCAAATAAGTGGGGCTGGAGCCAGGTTGTAAAGGACTCTGCAAAGCCTCTGAGCTCATGTGGGGTCCCCTTAGGTGCTGGAGGACTCTCGGATAGTGCTTCTTGCTGCTGATGTGCTTCCAGATGGACCGTTTCCCCAGGATGAGAAGCTGAAGGATGGTACGGTCTCCCGAACCCACCTTTTCTCTTCTTTCCCTTCCAACCTGGTCCTCTCTAGCTGCTCTTTCTCTCTTGTTTTTGTCACTCTTTTTACCCCTAGAGGACCCTCTTATGGCAACTTCTAGGTGATCCTGTAAGGCAAATGATTGCTGAATTTTAAGAAGCATTTAAAATAACATAAAATGGGGCTGAGGATTTAGCTCAGTGGTTCGGTGGCCTGCCTTGCAAGCGCAAGGACCCGAGTTCAATCCCAGGTACCTAAATAAATAAATAAAATAAAATAAAATGGAAAGTATTAAAAAACAAAACAAAACCCTACAATCCTGATCTTTTCTTTGGCTTTCCTAATAGAACTGACCCCTCACAGACACTGTAGTTGTGTTAACACCGGAGACCATCTTTAAACCTACTGTGTACTGGGGAGTTGGGCTCAGGAAAGCTGCATGAGGCATCAATCTCTATATACAAATCAACCTGGGGCTGTGGATTTGGCTGTGTGGTTCCACTTCCTGTCTCACAAGAGCAAGGTCTGGAGTTTGATCCTCAGTACCATTAAAAAAAAAAAAAAAAAAAAGTCAACTTGCCTCTCTGGTTCCCATAGCAAATAAGTCTAGGCATTGAGATGTCTTTGGACAGACAGAAAGACCTGGCTTTGTACCCTAGATTTGACACTAGCTGCTGAGCCTTCCCATCTGTAAAATGAGATCAACAGCCACATCCCTCTACAGGTGGTTATAAAGATTCAGTGGCCTGAGAGCACAAGGCACTTGCACACACTGCACATGCAGTGGGCACCCTGTGGTTGATGGGTGCCATTCCCCTCCCTGACCATGTTTGATGGGTGCTTCCATTCTCTGGAGGATGCTTGGGGTCAATCAGGAGGGCAGCAGGGAGGAAGATAGCTATGCTTGCTACTTATTAATGTCTTTTTGCCAGCTTTCTCTCATGTGGTGGAGAATACAGTCTTCTTTGGGGATGTGGTGCTGCGCTTCCCAAGAATTGTGCACCACTACTTTGACCACAACTCCAACTGGAACCTCCTCATCCGCTGGGGCATCAGCTTCTGTAACCAGACAGGTGTCTTTGACCAGGGACCCCACTCACCCATCCTTAACCTGGTAAGGACTGGGGCAGAGGAGGTCTGGGAGCCCTTGATCTTGTAGTGGAATAGGAGCCTCACATTTGCCTGCAGTTGGGCCTAAGTGTCAGTGCTTCAGTATATTTTCAGTGACAAGTCTCTGCACCTTCGACCATGTAGATCCCATTTTAGGGGCTTCCTCATTGACCTGGTTCCTGAATCCCAGCATGGAGGGAATGGCTGTCTGGTGAGCAGGAGGCAGAGGCTGAGGATGACTAGTTTTTCTTCATCTCTAGATGGCCCAGGAGCTGGGTATCAGTGAGAAAGACTCCAACTTCCAGAACCCATTTAAAATAGACCGAACAGAGGTGAGCTGCTGGGGCGTGTGTCTCTGTCTTGTGGGGGGCTGGGTGGAACACCAGGACTTTGGAGCTGGAGCCAGACATTTCTAGGTCTGAGTCCAGAACTTGTCATGAGTGTATGGAGGAATCTTAGGTTTGTGAGTGGTCTGGGAGTTTCATTCTACTTGTTTTCGGCTAACAAGCCAGCCTGCTTCTGTTACATGGATACTGATAGGTCAAAGACATCAGACTTTATTACAGCAAAATCTAACCAGGCAGCAGCCTGGTGGTCTTGGTTCACCTTCTTTCCCAAGGTCCATGGGGGTGACACCGAGGGGCCCAGGTAGAGGCTGTGCATACAGTGGGCTTGTTTTTGTTTTGCAGTGGGTTTGAATTGTACCTGAGGAACTCTAAGCTTAGGAAATTCATCAGTTTTGTACTGAGGGGAAGCAAACCCATTTTTAAGAACTCATCCTTCAAGATTACTCTGCAAACACAGACCTGTAGAATGGCCCAGATAGAGTGGTCAGAGCTTTGCATTCTTGGTTTATCAAGCAAGAATGTACAGGTATGCTCAGGTCCATGGTGGACTGTCTCCCCCAACAGTTTACGGGGACCTGCATATTTTGGTTTAACTCAAACTTTCACATAAATATACTATTCAGTCTAATTAATCTGAGCACTAGAGGTCATGACCAAATCCATTTGATTTCTCACACTGTTGTGTTTTTTGTTTTTTTTTTTTTTGGTACCAGGGATCAAACTCAGGACCTTGTGCTTGCAAGGCAGGCAGCGGAAATACTGAGCTAAATCCCCAGCCCTCATACTTTATTTATTAAGGCTACCACTGTTAGCTGTATTCTGAATAGCAGGATGAGGTCAGTCTGGAGTATTGATCACCATGTTCTTCAGGGTCCCTGCCTCAGCCAACTGTGCATAAGTTCTGGAGGGAACCCATGGGTCTCATTTTGAATGATCAGGATATGATCTGAGACCAATCTAATGTCTATTACGACCCCCATGACAGAGTTTAGACTCACCTGCCAATCTTCAAGCCTCCATGAGTATTGTCGTTAATAGTTACTGGGGGCAGTGGTTGGATCCAGAGCAATCCTTCCATGGCCCATTCTCTCTCGCTTTGAATCATCAATACATTGTTTGGTCAAATCCCAAGGGCAGTGTCTCAGTTTTAGCATCAGTTGCCCTACTTCGCAGGCATTGAGAGAAGCAGATAAGTTTATTTGTCATTTTGAAGCAGGTTGTGCTGTCCATTGTCTTTGTACAGTCCCTTTTAGGAGCTACCTTTGATGGTATCAGGCTCAGAAGAATAGTTTTACTGATGGTGTCCATGTGAGTTTTCCCATCACATGGATGGGAATAAAATACCCAGCAGATGGCCAGACTGTCAGTGGCAGCCGCCACTGAGCTTGGGCAGACCCTAGGATTGTTTTGCCAGGTGGCAGTGCTGCATCTAGGGATAAAGAGAGCATTAATTGTTTCCTGTACCTTCTGGAGTCTAAGGCATCCCTCCCTGGGTACTGGGCTTGCTGCTACAGAATCTGTGTATCTCATCCCAGTAGGTATATCACTTTTTCTCCTATCCTCCCCTCCTCTTACATAGACCCTTCCTTCAGGATGGGTCAGGTGTGAGTGGGACAAGGGTACTTTTACAAATTTATAGAGACCTGTTAGCATCTCCCATCTTTGCCCACATTGGCCGCTGCAGGGCACTTGGCAAGCAGTATTCTCAACCAAATGGTCATAATTCTAGTGATCTAGACCATAGCAACCCAAGATGGGTAGTCAAAACAGAAGTATAGTCTTTGCTCTGTGCCTTTTCATAGCAGTGGGTACATTGCCATGTCTGGAACGGTGATGCATTTAGGAGTGGTAGTGGTCTGGGTGGTGTCAAATTTGGTTAGTTTGATTCTAGTCAGTCTCATCAGAGAATAGATCTTACTATGGGCATTCAACAAGTCATCCAAATTTGGCATAGTGATACACACCTGAAGTCTCAGCACTCATGTAGCTGAGGCAGGAGGATCACCATGAGTTTAAGGCCAGCCTGGGCTACATAGTGAGTTGAAGGCTAGCCTGAATATCATAGCAACACCCTCTCTCAAAACAAAAACAAATAAAAAAATCAACAGCAGACAAGTATCCCGGACTGTCTAGTTTGTGACCACAAGGTGTTTCTACAGTTTGTGGCTCAAAGAGGGGTGTGTGTCTTTGATCTGCTCTTCTATAGTTTTTTGAGTGGCAGACCTAAACAGGCAGATCTAAAACACTGACAACAGTAAGAATATCACGTTTGGTTGCTAGGAAGGTCACCTAAGGCAAAGGTGACAGTTTTTAATTCAGATCATTATTTGACTGGACTTTTTTTTTTCCTGTACTGGGGATTGATCTCAGGACCTTGTGCTTGAGAGACGGGCGATGCCACTGAGCTACATCCCCTGCCCTGTGACTGGCCTTTATGGCATTTAGTCTTCCGGTGTTGTTTCAAGGCTGGAAGGCTGCTGCTGCCTATAGACGCTTGTGTCGGGACTTCTTAAAACCACCTCTAGGGCTGGTGACTTGCTAGAAGCAGACACAGGGTTTAACATATAGTCGTATTGTGGCTCTAACAATCCTCTAGCAGAATTCACAGTACTCAGTATGTAGTCATCTCATGGCTGTGATTTACTACAGAGAAAGAAAACAAAGCAAAGTCAGCAAAGGGAAAAAGCACATGGGACAAATTTTAGGGAAACCAGCCCTCAGAGTCCTCTCCTAGTAGAGCCACACATGATAGGTAACAAGTTGTAACACACACAAAATGTTATTTCCTAGGAAAGCTCATTAGATATCTGATCCCAGTGTTTTACTGGGAGCTAGTTATATGGGCATCTTTTGCTTGTCTTGCACCAAAATCCCAGACTCCCAGAAAGAAAGCAGGTGTTCATATAATATAATAAGCCATATTATTTTCACAGGTCAGGCACCATGAACCACTCTTATCGACTGTGGGGCATGGGGGGAGCTCCCAAAATGTTAGTTTCCAATCACCATCCTTGAAAGCAGGACTTGTAAAGAATAATAGTCAGGCCTGTAGTGCTCCTCATTTTTGGGCAACAGCTTGGATTTCAACTTAGTTTGGCCACAGTGGACCATTATTGAGGGCCCTGTTGAGCCCAGTGGCTTTGCTTTGTGTAGCAGAGTGGGGAATATGATTTCCCCCATTGAAGTAGCTGCTATCCCTTTACGCACACTGAGGTAACACATATTCCCAGACTGCTTACTATAATCAAAACCCTGATAAATGATGCTGGTCAAGAATAGTCGGGGCCTTGCATTCTTCAGATGCTCAGCCAGAACATGCACTGATACTCAAAGCCACGGCAGATTTCCTTTCCCAACAAGGAGGCAACCCATGGGGGTGCTTTATTGCCATGAAGTGGGCTCTTGGCCTGGAGTCATGCGTGCCCTTCTCACACAGGAGGAGGGTGACAGCATGGATAAATTTAGTCTAATGTCAGTATAGTCCATAGTGCTCTTAGACAAAATCATGGAAGCAATATAAATTCTTTCCTTCTCATTGGCTGGAGACAATCCTAAGATTTGTACTCACTTTTTTCTTTCTTTTTCTTTTCCTTTTCTCTGTGTGTGTGTGACGCTGAAGGTTGGACCCAGGGTGTCACACATCCCAGGCAGGCACTCGATCCCTGACCTGTATCCCCAGGCCATCCCCCACTTTCGGTCTCCAGCATGGACTTGTCCTCTTGCAGCAGCTGCAGGTTTGCTCAGCTCCTCTCATACATTGCCCTTTATGCTGGGCGTGTCCTGGGAGCCCTCTCCTAGGAGGAATTAGCAAAGAAACCCCTGGAAGGAGTGCTCAGTGCAAGAGAACAGCTTCTCAGCAACCAATTGAGAAAGCATGGGAATCAAGGTGTGATCCACCTGTCAGTTACTTCTGGGAGGTTAAAGAAGACAAGGACAGACATTCAATTGCTGGGTTTAGATCAGCTGCTGGAAGCCATTGGTGGTTTTGATAGAAGTTGTTTTGATGGAGCAGTTGGGGCAAAAGAAGAATGGGAGGAAAGTTTGTGGATGAGGCGAGTAGAGGCAACCTTTTTGAAGAATTTTGGTTTTGAGGAGAGCAGACCAATGACAGAATGTCTGTAGGGGCTCTGGTTTCAGATTTTAGTCATAAAGGAGAGAGGACAGCAGGTTGGTGTGTGATGAGACTGCCCCTTCAGGGAAGGAAGAACTGATGCTGTGTGGGCTGGAGAAGAGATGAGTTGTTGGAGCCCCCAGCAAAGGAAGAAAGGAGGGGTAAGAGCTGATGCCAGGAGGGAAGAGAGTAGGAAAAGGGTTGTCATATTTCTCTTCTGACTCAGCCAAGTTTGGACATCGCCAGTGGGGACTGGAGGGATCAGGATCTCTTGACTTGATCTTCCTCAGTCAGAGCAAGTTTGGGGACCTCTGCGACCTACGGCATCTCCCAGCTCCTCGTCTATCAGGAGGATTCGTTCAGTGGATTGGAGCAGAGTGTCATAGGGGAAGCCATGGGAGGGGAGTGTGAGGCCCACTTGCTGCCTGACTTGAGCATGTCACGTCACTTCCCTTCTCTGGACCACACTTGTGATTTCCCCCATCTTCTGAATGTGTGACTGTAGATTGCTCCACAAGGTGGAGCTCTTAGTTTGTTTTTAATCTACCTTGATCAAACATTTGTCAAATTTGCCCTAAGAACATATGAAAGGGGTGTATTTCACAACCCAAGAATTCAGTACTCTTGTATTTCACATTCTAATAGGCTTGTTCATGCATTTAAACAGCACAGTCTGAGTGCTGTGCTGTTAAGAAGCAGGCCGACAACGTGCTAGGGACTTTGAGCATAGTATGAGCAATGCCTAATACCATCCTCCTGTCCTTGTGGAACATGCTGTCTGGTGGGGTGACAGGCACGAAGTGGGTGATCACAAGGGAGAGGTGCGTACTAAGAAAGAACCAGCATAAAGTCGAAGAAAGTGAGCTGAGAGGAAGCATCCTGGGGAAGGTTCCACAGGCAGTGACAGCAGAGCTGGCGCTAGTGTGACAAAAATGGCGGGCCGGGAAGAGCCTTGTGGGCCTAGGCTACAGCATGTGTAAAGGTCTGGGAGGACTTACAGGGAATCTGAGACCCACAAGGCAGGGAGTATTTGGGACAGTCTAGTAGAGGTGTTAGGAATTTAGACGCGGAGTTGCAGGTTTGAGGGGTAATTGACCATAGCAGAAGCCATGGCCGAGGTAAGACTTTTGGAGAGTGTGGAGGGAGAAGAGCCAAGGGCCTACCTGGGATTGCAGCTGAAATGCCTCTACCAAAGTCCTGTCCTCCTCCCATCCTTACACCCAGCGCTCCCATCTCTTCCTCCATCTCTTCCTCCCGCTTGCTTAAGGTCTGCCAGTTTAACCTCTGGTCCATCTCTGTTCCTTTGTGCTCTCTCACCTACAGCCTGCTCCTTAATAAGCAGCAGCACCTGTTATCTAGAACACACTGGCCTCCTCCACTCCTCCTGAAGGGTGTGACAGATAGGGGCCCCCAGAGCCAATCTGTCCCTTCTCTGGAGGAGTTTGTTTATTGTTTGTCAATTCACACCTTGGGCCTTTTTCCCTCTGCCTGGAGTGCCCTTCGGTTCCCTGTTTGCTTGGCAAACTCCTGCTTACCTTTCTAGACTCACTCCAGCACTTATCCCAAGCCTAGGTAACTGTCTTCAGGTCTGGAGCTCCCCAAGGGCAGGGCTGTGTCTAGGTAACCTTTCTGTCCCCACATCCTGTGGCCTAGCTTAAAAAAGACTCTGTGGCTGAATGAATTACATCACTCTGCTCTCCTCCTCAGTTCATTCCCAGCACCGACCCTTTCCAGAAAGCCCTGAGAGAAGAAGAAAAACGCAGGAAGAAAGAGGAAAAGCGGAAAGAAATTCGCAAAGGCCCTAGGATCTCCCGGTCCCATTCTGAGTTGTAGCCCTGGAGCAGCTCAGGGACCAAGGGGCCAGCCAGCAAGAGGCTCAGGTGGAAGACGTGCCATATGGCACTGCTGTGGCAGCATTCACCATGGTGGTGAGCACTAGACCCTTCCAAATGGGGCACCACATTTTCTGGGTCCTCAGGAGCTGGAGACTGAAGCTCGGGAGCTGGATTTCCTTCCAGAGCCTGTCTGGAGGGGACACCGAAGAGACCTTTAGAAGACACCGTGCTGCAGGCAGGACCCTACAGAGACTGCTGGGGAGGAAGGAGGGCATCCTGGTGTGTTAGGGCCACTGGTTGGCTGCTGCCACTCTTTCGAAAAGCAGCAGAACCGGGCTCTGAGTTACAGGTGAAAGGTGCCATGCCTACAGCTGGTCCCACTGTGTCACTGAGTGCTCAGCAGCTCAGGTCCCAGCCCTTCTTCAGAAACAATAAAAGCCAGCAAACCCATTGAGTCCACCAAAGCTCACAAGGGGCCGTAAGGGAAGCAGGAGCCTCAGGGGTGTCCAGTGCAGTTTGGAGGATGTTCCTGGCTTATCCAGAGGAGCCCAGGCTTGGTGGGGGAGAGAAGCAGGAGTTTGGCCTGGACCTCCTCTTCCCTCCGCACCACCCTTGACCAGGGATTGGCCTTGAAAGAGGGCCTGGAAGTGTCCCCTGGGAGGGTGTTCAGTCATCCAAGGAGACCTTGGAGCAGTGCAATCCCTGTGCTTAGATAGCTGGGGATAGTCACTGAGCATGCAGGAAGCAGTCAGCTCTGGCAAGGCTGGAAGACCCTTGACCTGTGCGGGCCAGCTGCAGGAGGTGTACTCTGCACGTTCTGTATGCTGTAACGACAGGGCTGCCCTGAGCCAATTTGGTCAGGTAGTGAGTTCCCTGTCTCAGGAGTAATTCAAGAGGAGTCTCCCAGTCCAGGGTAGGGAAGGTGCAGAAAGGGTTAAGGCCCAGGGGGGTAGCCTAGTTTCTATGACTGCCTTCCCCCACATTGGAGAGAGGACTGTGGCCTTTCAGTCCAGCCCTTCCTAAATAGAGGGAGGGGCTTCAGCAGGAATTCTACCTCGAATTATCAAGCCAGGGTCTGCCTCTTAAAGGGGCAGAGGCACACATTCATCCCCAGTCCCCTCCATACTTGGCCTCCTGCCCCTGGTAATGGGCAAGTAAAACCTAAGCCTTAGCCTGTCAGACTTAGACCTTGAACTGTCCCATCCTTTCCCTGTGCCTGTAGCTTCAGTGGCAAAAGAACTTGATATCTGAACTCTGCCCAGCCCTAATCTACTTTTTCGTGTGTACCCCCACCCTTGGTACTGGGGACTGAACCCTGGGCCTTTGCCCTGAGTTACTTCTCCATCCTTTTTTATTTTACTTTTTTTTTTTTGGTACGGGCATTGAATTTGGGTCTTTGCGCTTGCAAGGCAGGCCACCGAACCGCTGAGCTAAATCCCCAGCCCTTTTATTTTACTTTTGAGACAGGGTCTCTTGCTATGTTGCCCACGATGGGCTTGAACTTGCAATCCTCCTGCCTCAGCCTTCCAGAGTGCTGGGATTATAGGTATACCTGACTCTAACCTGCTTTCCTTTTTGGCCAGAATAGCAAAGAGAAGCCAGGCCTCCGGGAGACCTCATGGAAGGACCCAGAACATCTTGCACCTTATCAGTCACTTGGGAGAAGTAAGGGTATGAGAAGCAGCTGGAAGAGGACTGGGAAGAGGACTGTAGACAGTTTCTTGCCCACTGGCCACCTTGTCGTTGGACGAGGGAGGTGGTGCTGGTCAGTGGTAGACTCCACTTGACACACCTGGGCTTCATGCCTGGGACATGTGCCTTAACCATTTGTGTGAGGATTATAGGAGATGGCGATGCTAGTTTGTGAGCTAAAAGGCTGTGGAAAGGGAGGGATCAGGACCCACCTGTCGACTCTTTAGGCTGTCCTGGTGTCTGCAGGTGAGACTGTGGCCAGCAGCCCTGAGGCTCCTCCCTGGCCCCTTCTGGCTGGAGAGTGGTTGTGGCTTCTGACTTTACAGGAAGGGTGTTTTCTCCCTTAATGGAGAAAGAACTTTCTAAGAACCATGCCTACTTTGCTGTGGACCAGGGTTTCTTGGGACTGGTGGGAGGCTAAAGGATGCCTCAGGACAATGCAGAGCTGGTTCCAGCTATGGGCAGGGATCCTACTAAGTGACTTCTAGGGACTCTGTCATCAGCAGGACCTGCCGAGTGATGAGGAAGGCTCTTCCCTTGCTCTTGTCACCGGTGACTTGTCACTCAGAGTGCTCAGGTGCTTGAGACATTAAGAGCCTGTAGAAAAGCCCCTTGGAGTCAGACGGTCTGTAGAATGTAAAAGACTTCTCGGCAACAGACACCCTCCTCTGGTGGTTCTTTGTTTATCCCATAGATTTGCCGAGTGCCCACTGTATGCAGGGCCTAAGAGAAGGGCTCAGTTTTACCTCTCTTCACGTCTGATCTCCCTTCTTCCTGGGCTTTTCCCTGTACACCTTCCGCCCCTTCTCCATGTTTGCCGATCTTGTCCTTTCCACCTTAGATAAGCCCAATATTTACCATCTGACACCTTCAAAGAAACAGCCATTCTGTTTGCCCCTCTCCTTGTCTTTGCTGCTAGTGTTGGTTGTTGTAGTTGATCATTTGTTCTAGGAACCCCATTTTATGAGACTTAAAAGGCAGAGAGTACCCCACTTCTGAGGAGTTAAAAGCCTGAGGGCACTTGTTTGTTCATTTGCTTGCAACAAGGATTCATTTATTTGACTGAACCTCCAGCTACTGTGTGTACCCAGTCTGTGTGGCTGTTGGCTTCGGTGGCCAGGGGTACCAGGGATAGCATTGGAGGTGGTTCTAGTGGCCAATCCAATAACCAGTGCCAGGACTGCCCAGTGGTGGCAACAGATACTGTAACTATGGTCTGGGACATTGTTCAGTCTACTAAGTTTTCAGGCCTAGTCTGTGGCACCCCTAGGGAGTCTGGGAGCCCTTAAAATTCTTTTTTTTTTTTTTTTTTTT